GCTGCCTGGGGAGCAGGGCAGGCGCCCTCATAGCATCTCCCCCCGCTGCCTGGGGAGCAGGGCAGCTAGGCCTCATAGCTAGACCTCAGGGAGGCAGCAGCTTTCAGCCTAGCTCTGAAATCAAATGTTTGCTCCAGAGAGAATGCAACTCTTTCAGGAAAAATACATACAGGTTTGCTGGGGGCATTTTAAATTTTTGCTTTCTGTCCAAGGGTCTCCCCTTCTAAACCTCCTGAGAGGCAAGCTCTGAAGAATTCATGATCTGTTTCAAAGAATCATTTTTAAAAATCTCACCCTATACCTTTTGGAGGGTTTTTTAAGCCAGTGACTAATTTGCAGGTTTGCTGAATTTAGAGTAGGTCAGACCATACTGAGTGCAGTCGAGGTGTTTTGAACCTTGACTGCACATCTCTCTTAAAATGAAAATCTCTTCATCGTAAGTTTGTATCAGAAAGGAAATTCTAGTTCCTTCTCTCTCCTTCCTTCATCCTTTAACTCTATTGTTTTTCTCCTCTCTAATCCCTAAATGACTCGCATCAATAAAAATAAAGGAACATTCTAAGTTCCTGTGTGCACACTGACACACCTGAGCACACATGTGCACAGACACACACGCGTATTTTTCATTCCTTAGGTTTGTGACCTGGAAAGAAGTCCACATCAGTCACCTTATAAATTTCCTTTTGCCAAGCTCATTCCTAAAAGCACAGATGTAAGGAGGGGGGACAGTAGAGAAATAGAGAAATGGATGGAGGAACTGATGGAGGGATCCTCCAACCAAGTTTACAACTGAACACAGCACAGCAGACATGCCCAGTATCCATGTCTGCCCACCTGGGGGCTTAGGCGAATGACAAGGCAGTGAGGGTTCTGTGATTAGCGTCTGCACTGGCTGAAGGCAAGACCGCAGTCAGGGGTGGCGGGGTGGCTTGCAGAGCTCCCAGGTGGTCAGGCCAAGCAGAGTCACCCTGTCTTTCTGCTGACAGAACCCTGACATGGAGGTGGATGAGAATGGGACTCTGGACCTCAGCATGAACAAGCAGAGGCCGAGGGACACCTGCTGCCCCATCCTGACCCCCCTGGAGCCCATGTCCCCCCAGCAGCAGGCAGTGATGGACAGCCGGTGTTTCCAGCTGGGCGAGGGCGACTGCTGGGACCTGCCCGTCGACTACACTAAGATGAAGCCCCGGAGGATAGACGAGGACGACCCCAAAGAGATTACCGTAGGTCCTTTTCCCTGATGCCGACTGTGGTGGCTGCAAGGCTCTGAGGGGGGCGAGGGTGAGAGAAACGCCACATGCACACCCCAGGGGGAAACGTACGACCTGCAGCTGATGGGGACTCAGAAAACGTTTTTTAAATTCATAGGAGATTTGTGACTAACATTGATTTGAGTGAAACAAACAATTGACTCTTCCAAATGATGAATTTTATTTTCTAGCAAGTGTGTTTTGTCACAAATAATTTCTCTAAGAAAATGTATAAATGGCATACCAGCTTGTTATTCTCCGGGTACCTGTTGACAGGATTTTCTTTGTAGGTAGATGATCATAATGAGAGTCTTTTTTTTTAAACAAAGTCTCACTATTTTGCCCTGGATAGAGTGCCATGGCGTCACAGTTCACAGCAACCTCAAACTCTTGGGCTTAAGCGATTCTCTTTCCTCAGCCTTCCAAGTAGCTGGCACTACAGGTGCCGGCCACACCACCTGGCTATTTTGTTGTTGTTGCTGTTGTCGTAGTTGTCATTATTGTTTAGCAGGCCCAGGCCGGGTTCAAACCCTCCAGCCCTGGTGTATGTGGCTGGTGCGCTAACCACTGAGCAATGGGCACCAAGCCAAGAGGCTCAGATACACCAGGGGTTACCTGTGTTAATAGTTAACCAGTAGTTAATAGTTAACAACTAACTGTTAATTAGCTAGTTCTTTAAAGCTAAGGCAGTGTCTCTTCTCTAAGAAACCTAGAGTGTTTAGAAGACTTCAGCCTTGAATAAATTAATTAAAGCAATCACCTAAAGCTTTGTTTATGACAGTATTCCTAAAACACCTATGCCAAGAACGTATTTTGGATGCCATTGCAATTCTCAAATTCAGGTAATTAAAATAGATACAACAGCCCTCAGGTTTTTAAAAGAAACAAAAAATAATTCTTTTTTTGACTGACTCGTTAGTGTTCAATCCTGAAAATTATTATATCTTCTTTATTCCCTACAAAATAAGAAAAGAAAATGTGAGTACAAAGAGAGACCAGCATGGAAGCGTAATACCCTGAGGAACAGGGGACTGGGGAAGCAGCAGCTCCGGGGAGAGACTGGGAGAGGGCGCCTGCTTCTAAGCCTGTTGACTTTATTTTTGTAATTGATTTAAGTATCCAGTCATTATTTAAAAAAAAAAAAAAAAAAAAAACAGCCTCGACTCTGAGTGACAAGCTAAATTTCCAAGTATTTTTTCTTCCCAGCAGAGTTAAATCATTACTACCAAATAAGGCATGGAAGTTGAGTCTTGGAATTTATTTTAATTACAATTAAGCCCTAACGAAATGACAGAAGTGTTTTCATGTCACAGACTCAGGGACATAGGACCCTCTGTGCACAGGGACCCAGGACACACGGGTGCTGATCACTGCCATCTGCAGGGAATTCTGGGCAGTGCAATTAGACGCACACCAAAAAGTGAAAATGCCGCATGCAATGATGTGAAGTCACAGGGCTCATGTCAGCTGCTCTCTGTGCCTTGTCAAGTACTCAGCGAGGACAGGTTACAACCCAACCCCAACCTTTTTCAGGGGTTCCGTTGACTCTTGGCAGGTCAGTGTGGGGTGGCAGTGCAACCCCCGACTGCAAGACACTGGTGTTTTCTGAATGCTGAGTGCTGGGAGAGGGGACCAAACTAAGGGGTCCTTCCACGGGGGCCATTGTGCGTTCCTGCTGAGTATGGCCAATAGAATCACTGACCACAGACAAGTGACCATAATTTTAGCATTTAGAGCAGTTGACAAAAAGTTCAGTTTGTGTTTTCAGAAGGGGCTTTATTTATCAGGACAAACACATGCAGTGATTTTACTGGTACGGTAGGAAGCAGTAGGAAACGTGGAGGTGGCCACCCAGATCCGGCAGCCGCCGCCTGCCTTCTGCACCTGTGTCACAGCCCTGTGGCTCTGAAGCTCTGTTTTGCCTGCAGCCAGAAGACTTGGATCCCTTCCAGGAGGCTCTAGAAGAAAGGAGGTACCCTGGGGAGGTGACCATCCCAAGTCCAAAGCCCAAGTACCCTCAGTGCAAGGAGAGCAAAAAGGATTTGATAACGTAAGCATAATGTGAGGTGAAATGACGGCTTTTCTTAATTTTCCCATTCTTTGGCTTATTTTTAAAACCCAGATCTGTATATGCCTTGCCGTTTGAGCATGCGACACCCGCAGCACACAGACGTCTCAGACCGCCAGTCCCGTAGAGTGAGAAGCTAACTGTGCAGCTGCTTGTTCTTCACGACACTCTGTCCTCCGCAGGCGTCATTTCATTTAATCCTGTGCATTTGCGGCTTTTCTTCAGGGCGCTTAAACCCCCTTGCAGACATTGCAGCTAAACTGGAAACAATGAAACTTTTTAAAAAGTTTTTTTTAAAAACATACTTACTATTCTGGCTGTTCTTGTTTTTGTCTGGTGGCAGATGTCCAACTCCGGGGTGTGATGGGAGTGGTCATGTGACTGGTAATTACGCCTCACACAGAAGGTGTGACTTCACTTTTTCTCATGGTGGATCTGTCTTTTCAATTTATTGTTTTCAGCTTACCTCAACAATGCTGTCAAAGTACAAATGTTGAATTCTGTGTCAACCCTTAAGTGCTCTATGTTGACCTTCAGAAGCATGCTGATTTCTGTGTTGTATAATGTCTTTTATTTTCAAACAAACTACCTAAATTTGTGAAATTCTTCTTAAATATTTACACCAAAGAGCATAAACGTCTTATCTTTTTAAACAACTGTATGTTAACAGAAAATCTTCTTAAATTTATATTTGAATATATTCAGAGTTAATTATACAAAAAAAAATTCAATATACAGCACTTACCCATTGCTTTTCTGCATTAAACTTTTTAATTTTGGTTTTTATGTTGTGTCTGTTCGGGAGCTAAGCCGCTTAGAGGTCCACTCACCTGACTTCCTGGCCTGTCTTACAGTCTGTCTGGCTGCCCTCTGGCTGACAAAAGCATTCGGAGTATGCTGGCCACCAGTTCCCAAGAACTCAAGTAAGATTTAATGAAAATAATTCTCTTTTAAAAACTTACTTTCTCGGTAATTCACAAAGAATGATGTGTCATTTGAAAAGAAAAATGTCTTTAACCAAAAAGACTGGTGCTCATCAGTGCCTGGACTTGGTGTCCAGCAGCGGGTTCCAGGGTTTTCAGCCACTTTTCTAAAGAATTCACCCTGCCTTTCTCCCTTACATTTTTCTCTGGTTTTTTCATATCATGCCCTTTCTATCTCAAATTTCCTAAAGCATGAGTATTTTCTCTTCAGAAATGCATGTGTATGAAAGGGAAATACACAGTTACTCAAACTGTAAGAGAAAGATTGTAATTTAAGGAATCAAAATTTATTTTTTAAGTGATAAGTTAGTGTACTTATTTAAAATACAGGTACTTAAATAGCACTAATGATAGGAATGTACCAGGATAACAGCCAATTTGTTAAATGCACTGTGCTCTGAGTTATTAGCAGGACAATGACAACTCACAGTTCAGGGACCACATGGAGACTCACACGCCACTCTAAAGTTTTACCTCCCTCTCCTCTGTGCCTACAATGGTCAAGCATAAATTTGGCAAAATTGTAAAACCAGCTACATTTATACCACCAGACTGAGGTTTCCCTTCTTTATAAATAGATGTCTGTATTCAGGTTCTCCTTAGCAGTTGAAAGGAGCCAGTACAAGTTAAGGGAAGTGCATTAAAAGCTCCAGACTCCAGCAGGCGCAGACACTCAGGTGTGTGCCAGGAATGAGGGTGGGACCTTGGCGACTTCCACAGCACGATGGGGACCGAGAGTCCCCCAAACAACTGTTTTTGATGATCTGACATATCTATCATTACGTCAAATTGCTTGGGTTTCATTTTGTGTGGGAAAGGTTTTATTATCCATGCAACAAAAATGTTTCCCATGCACACGTGATTCCTTGCCCAGCTCCCTGCCCCCGCCCAGCCCCTTGACAGCTGACTGAGGCCTTCTCACGCAGGGCTTGGATTCACACCCTGTCCTTTCTTTCAGGCTCCCTGTCCAGGGCCCTAGTGCCATAGACCACCTGCTCATGTTCAGTGACTACCTGAGCTAGCCCTTCACCACAGACTCTGGGGATTTTCCTCACGGGACACACACCCTGGAGGGCTTCCTCTCACTTAGCAGCCTTAGCACCTGTAGCGCGCTCCCACGCAGTGCCTAGAGGACAACGTAGCTTTAGAACCACAGCGAGGACAGCACTAGCAAGAACAGTCGGGCCCACTTGGTTCAGGGACCTCTTTTATGGCTTAAAACCACATTTCCTTCCTGGTCAAAATGTGATTAACTTCACTTGGAACTTGGCCAACATGTCAGAGCATGGCGACATTCCCGTGAATCTCTTGATGAGGGAGGCTTTGCAAAAGTCTGGCGCCTCTCCAGTTCCAACAGGCCAGCTGTAAACAAGAAAGTGGCCTTTGTCAACTTGTGCCTAGGGTTGCTTCGGCCTGGGCAGTGTCTCCAGGCCCCAGAGACCAGACTCCTTTCGGAGGTTAGCTTTCCTTTGCTTGCACCCCTCCACCTTGCGCTTGAAGATCCACATCGGTCTGAAACTCCGAGCAGACGTGCCGTGTTCACAGCGGCAGCACGACCCTCGGAGCTCCCTGCACTGTGATGGTGTGGTGGTCACCAGCACAGGCGTCTCCAGGGAGCCTCTGGCTCTCCGCATCTTCTGGGGTAGGGTAGGGCTGCTTGGCCCCCCGCCCACACTGTCCTGCTTGTCCTCCAGGGGACACTGTGTCTTCCAGAAGATGGATGGCCTTTACCCGTTCGGGGCTGATCTGAGAGCTCACCTGTTTCTAGACTTGTCTTCATAACAACTAAGCCCCATTTTGATCGAGCCTTGCTCTGAAGTCTATACTTGACTTGTTTTCTGAAAGGGTCCATTTCTAATAATGGATCTTCAAAACCAAGAATTTCAGTTAAACATCTCCTATAAAAAGGCTAAGATTTAATGACTCGTTCTACTTGATGCCATGTCTTTCCAGGCTGAGGAAGCCACAGTCGGTGACATTTTTTTCTTCATCCCATATCGGGCAGTGCCCCGGCCCCCACAGGGTCAGGAACCTGCTGGCTGGTTCTCCATGCAGAGGGGTCAGCTCAGCATCTGTGAGATGGGCAGTAGCTGTCCCTGGATGACTCACGCTGCACCCTCTAACACTCTGTCACATGTTTTAAGACCACGGTCAGTTCCTCCCACAGCAGCATCTCCTGAGAACGTGAACACTGCCCGCTGCTCAGGGCCACGCTCTCCACTTGTTCACAGAGACTGTGTAACACATGGGCCCCAGTTACCTCAGTTCTCTCTTATGCATCAGCTAACAGAATTTTCTGGAACCCTTCTTCTTGTCACTTCCAAAACTAAACTCTGATAGTTGGCTCTTAGCAGGACCTTCTTGATCATGGATAAATTCTGCCAGATAAACTGTGGGTCTTAGATCATCAAAGCTCCTAAGCCTCCTGAGATGACGCTTTCCAGTTCTCATCTAGAGAAACCAATGTGGGGTAGTCTTAAAAAGAAGTCGGTACTCTGATGTTTAATCATGTACAATTGTAAACTGAAAGTGTATTAAAATTTAATGCATACATGGATCTTACTCCAACCTTGGAGCTGTTGCTTTCCCCGTTTCTGAGTCGATCTGCTGCAGAGAATAGATTTGGGTGTCTCAGAGGTAAGGGAGGAGCCCAGTGAGATAAAGGGAACTGTGGGGTC